TACGGAGTGCCAGACAATGAGCATCCTGCGACCCAGATGTTTCGCGTGGCCTGGGCCCGTCGGAATGAATGCCCACTTATGGCGGCATGGAAGCTTCCGCTCATGATCAACGCCCGCATCATGGGCCCCAAGTTCTATCGGTTCCAGATGGATTGGGACGTCCGCTTCGAGGTCGCCAACGACGCCGAGTTCCGCAGGTCGCTCAAGAAGCAACAGAAGGAGGGGCGCGCCCAGGGCATCCGTATGCGTCCTATCGAGACGATCATGTCGCGCGGCGGCTGCTTCGGTCTCGCTCTCGTCGAGGCGGGCAAGCGTTTGGTCGTGACGGGGCACATCAAGGATCCAAGTGGCGCCACGCCGGGCGAGGTCGTCGATTGGATGAACGACCTCGTCGCGCGCTCTCGCGAGGCGCTTCCGCCGCCGGCCGACACCGCGGCCCGCGACTTCTTTCGCCGCGAAGTCATCGTCTGCGACGGCGTCGAGATCGGCTACGACGCCTTCGCGGCCTGCCACGAGGGCGCCCGCGTGACGCTCCGCGGTCTCTCCGCCGCGGAGCTGAACGGCGAGACGGGCTCCGTCGTGAAAGCCGTCGACGCGCGCACGGGCCGCGCCATGGTCAAACTCCATTCCGGACAGCGCGTCGTGGCCGTCAAGGTGGGGAACCTCACCGTGACGAGGCCGAACGCGTCCCAGCGGCCCTACAAGCGCGCGCTCGTGAATCTCGCGGTTTGCTCCGGGCTCCTTCGTTTCCAGCTCGAGAGCCACGACGACCTCGACGCCGCGGGCGTGGACCTGATTATGAAGCTCCTGCAGGAGAACAAGGTCGACGAAATCCCGCCGCCGACCGCCTTCGGTCTCGTCCACATCCTCGGCGTCCAAGACCGCTCGACGCCGCTCGAGTACCTCTACTGCCTGCTCCGGCCCATCGCGGACAAGTTGCACGACATGTAAGGCGTTTCACCGAGCCATTGATCTCGAACACACGCCGCTGGCTCGATTTGAAATCGACCCCCCCAGGCGCGTCAGTTCCGGGCCCCGCGGCTCCTGGGACGCACCCCACCGGTAGGGCGCGACCCCCGGGGGTCTGAGGAGTCGCTCCGTGCGTTTGTCCCGTTTTTTTGCTTCGTGTCCCGTACTCGTCCTGCCGCTCTACGGTCGAACCATCGTTTATCCCCGGCAGGACGTCGAGTATCTGGATTAGTTAGGCGCTCGAAGCTGCTATGGCAGCTGATGGAATCTCCACCTTAGAGGGCCCCGTGCTCCTCGAATATGCAGCGACGTGCAACGATCCCAGCGGCTTTGAGGTCCGCAAACATGTGGGTGAGGCACATGAAAAGACGCGACATCCGGACGATTGCGAGGTGGCGCAAACGGGCAGCCTCAGGGGGTGGAATGGGGCGCGGCAGCTTCCCCCGACCCGAATTTCGGTCGCCTTCGAGTCACAGAGCGTCGGGAATCGTTCGTCATGAGGGCGATCAGATGCCCTCGCGGCAGCCCTTCGGCTCGAGCCGATTTGATCGAGATCACCTCACCGGCTCCGGGAGGCGCGCG